AGCTTTTAAATCACTTATCGCTTTCCGCGGTTCTCCTTCTCTTACAAAGCACTCAGCTCGAAGCTCCCGCAGTTCTGCATCCCAAACACAAACCTTGAGAAACAGAAGAACTAGACTTTAAGACAGAAACAGCAACTTCGGCACCTTCATACTCGCACCTCACACGCTCTCACCTACGTTAGCCATCGGCATAAAGCATCCTCAACTCATGTGATGACATATAGTGCACACGGTGTTTAAAAGACGGGAAATTTAGACTGAAAAAACTGATCATCAACTCAGAAGAGTTTCTCCTAGGATATCTTAAATGAATTTTAATGCAGAAAAGGGGGGGAAGGACATTTTTCTACCTCCTTCGATTATATAGTTCTGAAACTTTACAATTAAAAACAAAACAGGAGAGCTCTGGTAGCCTAGTGGCAAGAAGCTGCACTGCAATCCCAGAGGTGTGTGGTTCAAATCAACCAAATGCTCTGCCGGAGACGGAGGGACAATCTCCTCCTGTACCAGTCAGATCTGATTTGATGGTACACACATACACACACAAACAATAATAAAATTAAATTTAAAAAAATTAAAAACAAAATAATATCTACTAATAGATAGTAGTTACCACAGAAGCACATGTGATTTTGAAGAGTATTTTCTATAATTAGTTTTTTGGGTGTTTTTTTTTAACTTAATCAACAACCCTTATTTCCAGTCAAAAAATCTAGCTCTGAGGTAGCAAAATAATTCTATTCTAGTAAAGACTACATGAAACTTTCCTTTGTTAAACATTATCTGTGAAATGAAATCTTTACCAAAAGAAAGAAGGAAGAAACCAACCATTGTGAGATGCTGGGAAGTAGGGCCTTCACACCTCACCATCTTGGGAAAAGCCCACAATGCTTAGCAGGCACGCCTGTCCATGCCCTGCCACGTGTGCAGGTCAAAATGCACCACAAGGTTTCCAAGGTTGGGACATTTCACACACAGGCCACCAGCTCTGTCTTCAGAGGCACGTCTGGGGGGGTTCAAGCTACCAACCTTCCAGCTTGTGGCTGTGCGCTTAACTGTGCCACCCAGGGATGCCTACCAAACACATCAAACCCAAACTCACTGCCACAGAGTGGATTCCAACAGGTGGTGGTGGTGGTGGTGGTGGTTGTTATGTGCCACTGAGCTGACTGAGACTCACAGTGACACTGTGAACACACCTGCATCTTCCCTATCTCATGCCATCCTCACAACCTCCGACATCCCCGAGCTCACGGGAGCAGGCACGCTGACCCTATACCCTCTGATCCTATACCCGTCTCAGCATGGTGCTTTTTCCAACAACTGGTACCGCCTGACAACATGCTGGAAATATGTGAAGTCAAGTTTCACCCTCCTTGCCGCTAGGGAACAACCTGCTTGCACTTCCTCCAGGATAAGCTTGTTTTCCTTTTGGTGTTCACGGCATATTCAGTACTCTTCTCCGACACCACAATTCAAATGCGTTAGTCCTTCTGTCATCCTTCTCACTGTCCAACTTCCAGATGCACAGAAAGCAACTGAGGCGTACCTTAGTCTTTAAACTGACTTCATTGCTCTTTAGCACTCTGGAGATAGATGTCTTAATCAACTGACTAGTATTCGCACGGGTACTGGTTATTATTGATCCAAGTAAAATGAAATTACTGACAACTTCCAATTGTTTTCTCTATCTAAGATGTTGCCTACTGAAATACATTAGTATTTTCCTAAACATAAAAGTACTTCAGGAAAGCCTACTGGAAGTCACTTCGCATATTTCTTAGAAGTGTTCTAAAGTTCAGGAAGCTCTGATGAAGTCGTTCTCGGTGAGTCGCCCTATAAACCCAGAAGTGGTGCCTCTCGAGGGGTTCAAATCCACCAGCTGCTCCTTGAGAGTGAGATGAGAAATCTCTTCCTGCACGATTTTTAACAGCCACTGAAAACCTCCTGGAAGGTCAGCTATGAGTTGGTTCCAACTTGACGTAATGAGGCTGAGTTCTAAAGTCGTGTCAACTTTCTACGAGCACAAAGCGGCTGACCAAAATGCTGGCTATCTGAACACATGCAGTGGCTCCGTGGGAGAAGACGGAGTAGAACTCACAGGACCCAATCACTGTACATGAAAATCAACACATTTATATCATGGGCAATCCCTGGAGCTAGGTCAAGACGGGCAGTCTAAGGACCGGGAGTAAAAAATTATACCTTTGAATTTCTCTAATAAAGGCATTAAAATTATGAAACAAAACATATTCCAGTGGACATCTCATTATTTTCCCTGCAAAAGAATCACAGAAATATCTATTCCACATTTGTCATCGGTCTAAGGTCTGTAAATGAAAATCATGGTGAAAATAATATATAAACTTAAGATTGCTTCCATTTGAGTATCTTTGTCCACTTGACTTCTGGAGACAACTCTCTAGCCTTAGATTTCCTTATATGAAATTGTTTTCACCACTTCTTCACCAGCCTAAATATATTTTTCTTCCCAAATTACCATTTTGGTAGTTTTTTCATCTTTTACCTCATTCTTTAGCTCCTAGTTTTTCCTTTCTCAAAAAGAGTAAAGTCCAATCAAAACAGCAAATCATACAAGGTACAAAAAAATATCCAACTCCTGCTCCATAATGCAATTACAGAAAACTTCGTTTCAAACTCTGGTCTGCATAAGCGAACTTTCGCCTGGAGCTGAAAGTCCAAGGACCAATCTGAGGCTAGCCTGTGCAGGTGTTTGTGGAATAGAAAGTGCACACGGAGTAAGTACTGGCTTGTCCGCAGCAGGACGCAGGACACTCACCTCTAAAATCCTATCGAGGAAGGTGACGGCAGCAGCGTAATCTGCACTCTCAAAAGCATACAGTGCTTGTGAGCGTAAGCGCTGCATTTCATCCGATTTTAACAGCTGAGACTGGGCTTCCTTTTCTTCGTTTTCACTTGGATTCGATTTGAGCTATAAGAATAATAACATCGTATTAAAATGTGCTCTCAATCTCTTCTAATAGTGAATATTCATAATATTCACAAATATCTGACCATGTCAATACTTAAAATTCATTAGGAGGAGGGAGTAAAGAGGCCCTGACAAAACCAGCTGACCCCTGTGGGATGTGGCAGCGAAGGCATGGTTTTTCCCTCTGAGGGATACATAAGAGGGAGCTGTAGTCCCCCCCAAACTTTTCAGGAAACACATGTACTGAACTGAAGAGTAAAGATGAAGGCAGGCAGGCACCCTTCTCACCTTCTTACATGCAGCGTGGCCTCACAAATCAACATGAGTTCTAGTTACTCTCTGCCTCTGATTATATTTTCTAAGTATAAATTGGGAACTCTGGTAGCCTAGTGGTAAGGAGCTGCAGAGGCAACCCGAAGGCACATGGTTCAAATCTACCAGCTGCTCTGCAGGAAAGAAATCTCCTCTGAGCTTAACCTGCCTGTGCAAACCCGCTGGAGGACCAGCTATCAATCGGGTCCAACTCGATGGTAAACAATAAAAAGCAGCAGCATAAAATAATTTTACCAAAAATAAAAGCAGAGGGAGGAAGGGAGGTTTTTAAGAGTGGTTCCAGAATACAAAAAGGATTTGATAATAGAGGTGTAACGGTGCACTAAAAAGGGAAGAATTTACAGATTAAAATTAGAGTGCAGAATCTAACAAAAAAACACATAGTGGGGTTTGCAGTTTCTCTCTCTCTTTTTTTAAACCAGCTTTATAGAGGTATAATTTATATGCCATAACCTATTCCCAGTGTACAATCTGATGATCTTTAATGTATTTACTAAGCTGTGGGAGTATTACCACAGTTTCAGACCCTTTCCATCACCCCAGTAACCTCCCTTGTGTTCAGGCACAGCTAATCCCCTCTCAGCCCACATCCCAGAACAAACTGATGCTTAACAATTTCTTTCTCCCAATGGAAAACCTTAAACTTGCTGTCACAGAAAAACTGAGTGCCTATTAAAAAGAGATTGGTATCTTTTTACAATTATTACACCTAACTTTATTACATAATAGAACTGTGTTGCATGTAATATAACTATATTAATTACTATTGTTGTCAGGTGGAATCAAGCTGGAACCTGACAGATTCAGAGGCTGTTAATCACCCAGGAGGAGACCGCCCATCCTCTTCAGAGCAGCTGGTGGATTCGAACCACGTGCCTTCAGGAATGTGGCAGGGTTTCTTACCACTAGGCCACAAGAGCTCCTTGTATATGTAACCACATTTGAAATCTAGTTTCCTTGTGAAGATGCAAACTGTCGTGAATGGCAGTTGACGAGTTCCAGTTTTGAATGGGCTGCAGACATGGGAAGTCTTCTTCTAGCATCTCTCTCATTTAACTAAGCACCTGTATTTCTCATTTCATATTTCAGAATTATTTGAGTAATACTTTTGTGTAAGTTTTAACTTTTGAAGGAATAAACCTGATTTAGAAGAGAGGAATTCTAGGTAACTATGACTCGTTAGCACCTCTACTGGCCTAGTGCATAAGGGGCTGCACTGCCAAACCAAAGACAAGTGTTTCTCAGGCAACATAATGACAGAGGAAGAAGACATGGATATGGTCAAGGATTTTATTTTACTGGCTCCACAAATAATACCCATGGTAACAGCAGTCAAGATATCAAAAGATATACTACATTGGGAAAATATGCTGTGAAGGACCTCTCCACAGTGCTAAAGAGAGCAAGAATGTCAGTTTAAAGACTAAGGTGTGCCTTACCCAAGTCATGGGTCTTTTCGATTACTTCCTATGCATCTGAAATAAATAAGGATTACAGAAGAATTGCAGTGTTAAGAGTGCTGACTATGCCTTGGGCTACAAAAAAAACCAAAAAACCAGTAAGTCTATCTTATAGGCAGTGGAACCAGAGGGCTCCTTTAAAGGAGAAGAGAATGAAATGCCTCACGTGCTCTAGACATACTGTGGAGACAAGCCACTCCCTGGAAAAGACATCATGCTGGGAACAGTGGAAGGTCAGAGAAAGAGGAAGCCTCTCACGTGACTGTAACACTAGGTTCACGCACATCAGTGAAGGCGATGATTTTGTAGGACAGGCCAAGGTTCACGGGAGGTCAAGGTTCATAGGGTTGCTAAGTTTTAGTCAACTTGATGGCACCCTAATTTATGTACGACCCTACTTTATGTACTTTATGGCTTTATGTACCAACAATCTACAACTCTGAAAAGCATAGCAATTAAAGTCGTGGGGTAATAAGAATTCATTTGACCCTTCTGTGGTCAAAATAAAAGTAAAGGCTGGCGTAAGAAACATTCAGCCAACTGCTTGCAGATCACAAAATCAGTATGCCTCCTGCTGGTAATTTTGTGTTAAAATCGATTCCTTTAAACTGTGGGGTCAGAGGACAGTACCGAATAGCCCCTGGACTGCCAAAGAACAAATAGGTATGTCTCTGAGAAGGTGCAGCCAGAGTGTTCCTTGGAGGTAGAGACGACAAAGCCGTGTTTCACATCCTTTGGCATGATGCCAGGAGAAGCTCTTCCTTGGAGGAGGACGTCATGCTCAGGAAGCTGGAGACGGAAAGCCCCTCAACCAGGTGGACTGACACGGTGGCTGCAGCAAAGGGCTGGATTCTGTCTAAGATTGTGAGGACGGCAGAGGATGCGACCAGACACAGATCTGCTGCTCACAGGGTCACTATGAGCTGTACTCTCACACTGATGGTATCTAAACAACAACAATGCCATTAAAGGCGTCCTGGTGGCCGAGCAGACAGGGAGTCGCACTGTCCACACAAGGGCAGAGGATCTCCAGACTCTGAAAATCTGGAGCCTCTTTGAGGTCATCTGTGAATTGGTTCGGTTTGGACAGAAACACATTCTTCAAATAACTATCTAGGCTATGGCGCTTTAAGCAACACAAATTTAAGGTTTTTAGTTGATAGAGGAAAATCTTCGGGATATAAAATGTTCTTTTAAAAAATTCTGTGATTTCAAGAACTTGTTTTCATACTTTGTTTCTGTTATAAGAACTATATAAAAAGAATAATCTGAACGAACCAAAAGAGAGAGAGAAATAAAGCACTAAAAAAATCCAAGAGTACGCAAGTCAAGAGGTAGGTGAAAGCACTGTTATGTTCCTGTCTTTTTCTAGAACAATCTAAACATAGAATAAGGGGGAAAATGGAAATCAATAGTGAGTAGAAGGGAGAGAGAGGTGGGCTGACAGGAGAATCAAGAGCTGGATAAATAGAATCCAGGGGAAATACAAATAAAATCTATAAAGTGGAGTTTCTTATACCAACCGGGCTGGCAACTTATACTGTCTGTTCACACTGAGAGTCGGTGGAGATGTGGAACTCTTCAAAGGACCTCTGTAATGCTGTTAGCAGGAATACCTAGCAGGACAGAGCCAAACTGCTCTACCAGGTTAAAAACGCCCTGAACTTTCAAAGCATCAATTACCTTCTCAGGTACACGCCTACAGCAGAGATTCCCTAGGCATGACAGACCTTGAGACCTCTGGGAGTCTTAAAAATCCTTCAGAGTTCTGAGCAGACAAAGGCATGTATGGATAAATGACAAAGAACCCTTTCAAATGTCATATTTTATTTTAAGAGTCAGACTAGAGTTCACTAAGAAGACTTTAAAAATATTCTCCCTTTATGAACAGCTTGTCAGTGTGGAGACATGCTTTAGCTGCAGATTATCCTCTATCTCACAGAGAAAGAAATGTTGGCTCCAAGTCACTTCCAAAGCCTACATTAACCACACCTACTAGTTCACTCAGTGTCCACTCACCGCCAGACCAACAGCTGTGAGCTGGGCGTGTGCAACCAGACATCTACAAGGCATCTCTGCAACTTGGTCCAAACAGAATTCCCTTCCCTCCGTCCACCACACCCTCCTGCTATCACGCTCATCAAGCACGGAGTCACCGCCTCATCCACAACTTTAAACAAATTTCAAATGAACAACTTCAAGGTAGCGATCTTCTCATTAAAAAAATCTGTTTTCTACTGATGTTTTAATGTTACAAAAGATGGACTTTGTTTTCTATGATGAGGGGGTTTTTTTTAACCATTATTCAGGTTATTTTTGCTGGGTTTTTTAAAATCTTTTTTTTAACAAATAAGATCTAATGTATATTTTATACAGAATTACATTACAAATGTTTTCAATTGTGTTCTGGTTTTTTTCCGTCTTTTAAGTGCCACGCCAGTTCTTTGTATAAAAAAATTCCTTCAAAATGCTCACGAGGGGAATAAGGCAAGTTGCTGATCAGAGTGGCCAGAATTTCCGCATTACAAGAAAAAATACTCTGCAATAGTATGTTATTTGTGGTCAGACCATTTCATATGTTCAAAGCCTGGTTATTCTGCTTGTTCTGTACCGGTACATTTGCATCTATGATTTCTGTTGTGTTGTTCTGTCATGTAGAATATTGCCTTAGTCATCATAAAGTAACCTGTATTAGCATATTTTCCTTTTATTGTAAAAATCTTTAAATAAAATGTTTAATACAAAGAAAAATGGTCTCACTTTCTTCTTTAAGCCTAACTGCAGAGTCGTCCATCATAACAATTGCAGAAGGCATCCTAGATTCCTCTTTGCTTTATATAAGGATGAGTCTCACTCCATGTGTTTGATGTCTGATGGCTGGAAACTCTTGGGATTCACGCTCCAGCTCTCCCTTGGGCCCCACAGCAGAGCATGCCAACAGTACAGCCACCTGATCGTTACTTAGGTACACAGTTCAAACCACCAGTGACGAGTCCGTGAACAGGAGCCTTCACACTGTCTCACCTCCTAACCATAATAAAACTCAAAGGTTCCTCCTTTGTCTGTTCTCTCAATTCCGACTGACATCATTGCTCTTCAGTACTCTGGAGAGGTCTCTGACAGCACACTGTCTTCTGACTTCCTGGCTACTGGTACCAAGAGTGTTGACTGTTGAGTCAAGAAAACTGAACCTGTCAACAATCTCAATCTCTTCACCATCTATCATGATGCTGCCAATTGGCCCAGTGGCGAGAATCTTTCTTTTTTTGATGTTCAGCTGAAGGCTGCAGTCCTTTATCTTCTACAGCAAATGCCTCAGGTCCTCCTCTGTTTAGTCAAGCAAGGTTGTATCATCTGCATACTGGAGGCTGTTGATGACTATTCTTCCAATCTTGATGCCACATTCCTCTTCATAGAGCCCAGCCTCCCAGATGATCTGTTCTGCATATAGATTGAAAAGGTTTGGAGATAGGATGCATCCCTGACATACACATTGCCTGATTTTGAACCATGCAGGGTCTCCTTGCTCTGTTCTGACAATTACCTCCTGTTCCAAGTACAGGTTTCACATAAGCACAATCAAGTGTTCTAGGATTCCCGTTCTTCTCAGAGTCAGCCACAGTTTGTTGTGATCCACAGTCAAATGCCTTTTCCTTCAATTGCATGTAATATGTAACATTCTCCCCAACACTTGACATTATGGAAGACTGCAAACTTCTCATGAAAATCAGTTAAAGTATTCTTTTCAAATATGAGATCTCCAAGTCCTTTAGGGGGACTGTGAGAATAGCTAACAGACATGTAGAGACAGAGACAGAGCAGGAAGAAGCGAGCCTTATAAACTGACTTGGGATTCAGTACATGTTCAGTCGACTCTTACATCTGTTAATGTGATTCATTAGTATTAATCCTGGAACTATGAATCTTACAGAAACAATCAAACTGGTAGTTTCCTTAGAACTATAAACTACCAGATTAAATGTCTTTATACAAAAACTAAGCCCAAAATGTTGTTGTTATGTGTCGACAAGTTGCTACTGACTCATAGTGACCCTATGTACAACAGTCCTAAAACCTGCTCTATGCTGTGCCAACTTTATTGTCTCTGACACAAGCACTCTCATTACCCCAATCACTGAATCAGTCCATCTCATTGATGGTCTCCCTCTCTTTCTCTGTCCCTCCATCCGTCCAAGCATGATGTCCCTCTCCAAGGATCAGACCCTCTTTGCAACATGCAAATGACATCGTCATGGAGTCAAGTACAAATGTAACTTACTACTTTTTTAAAATCATCTTCTGCTTCATCAAGTCTTCCCTGTTTGAGAAGTAAGTGGCCTCTCTGTAATCTTGCCTGCAAAAGAGAAGGACAGGCCATTTAAATTTCCATTAAACTCAAAGGATAAATCTAAATATGTTAATAAAGTCATCAATGAAATATTTATTCTTTTTCCCTGATGCTCATTTGTTTAAATTGGCACTCTGAGGGGGGAAAAATATAAAAATCCTGGAACCAATGAGTGTGTGTAATGTCTGTTAAGGCATGCTTTCTCTAAAATACTTTTTTGCTTTACCCAAGAGAATGAAAAACATATTGTCCATATAAAAGCTTGTACATAAATGCTCACAGCACTGAGCAAAAAGTGAGTACAATTCAAATGTCTATCAGCTAAATTATTAAAACACAAAATGCAGTATTATCCACACAATGAAATATTAATCAGCCATAAAAAGTACTGATACACCAGGGATAAATCTTAAGAAAATGCTAAGTGATTCAACACAAAGGGGGTTCTAATCCATGAAGGAGTCCAGGAAGGACTGCTGCTAAGTTGGTCCTGGGGTGTCAGCCCCAGCACCCCACAAGTTTTCAACATTCCCAAGAGTTGATCACCACGGCTTCCTTCCCAGGCCCCTTGGGAAGGCCTCAAACTACAAAGGTGGGAGTCAGCAGCCAAGGATGCTACAAAATGACCAGAGCAGGCAAAGGCGTGCAGAAGGCAGGCAGATTTGTGGTTCCCAAACTGAGGGAGGGGACTGGGGAGTGACTGCTTCCAGGAACAAGATTGATTCTAGGGGTGACAGAATGTTCCGGAATTAGAAAGTGGTAATTACTGCATAACCTTGTGATATACTAAAAACCACCAAACTGTATACTGTAAAAAGGTGTTTGATGGTATGTTACCTAAAGCAAAAACTCAAAGCGTTTACCACTATGCTCTCGCTGTCATCAAGCTGGAACTGACTCAGAGCTGACTCTCCAGCAGGTTTTCAGAGGCTGGAAACCCCAGGGGAGGAGCCTGCTCATCTTTCTCCCACGGAGCAGCTGGTGGATTTGAACTGCCTCCTTCTGGCAGCACAAGTCCATACCCACAAGAGTCCTCATTTACCCCTACTGTAAAAGTTGGGTAGTCCATCACACTCTGGTAGCCTAGTGGCAAGAAGTTGCACTGCAATCCCAGAGGTGTATGGTTCGAATCCACCAGAAGCTCTGGTGGGAGAAGGAGGGAGAATCTCCTCCTGTACCAGTCAGATCGGATTTGATGTTACACACACACACACACACACACACACACACAAAAAAAAAAAAAAAAAGTTTAAAAAAGTTGGGTAGTCAGTCTGGAATTATACAAAGACCCATATGCAGGCTTGATTGGGTTTGGGTGGGGTTTTTTGTTTTTTTTTTTTTTAAATTTATTTATTTTCATCTACCATTGAATCAGATTCAACTGGCACAGGAGGAGATTGCCATGGATTTGAACGACACACCTTCGGGATTGCAGTGCAGCTTCTTTACCACTAGGCCACCAGAGCTCCCTTAGAGGCTTGTTGTTCTGTTAACTCTGAATGCCAATATCGACGGTACTATCACCAGAACAGCAGTGCCTCTTTTTAGCATGCTTTCTCCATCTTTGACCATTCTTCCTTTCTAACAAATGTAACCCAATTTCTTCTAAGAGTCCCAACTCTGATGATTAACATCGACCATAAAGCAGAAACCACATCATCATTATTCTACTAAAACATGTATTATTGTCACAGTACATAAAAATTCCCCTAATCTTGTTATATGGATCAACACATGTGAAAAGACTCAAAAGTACTCCATCTAGCTAACAGCCACCTTATCACAAGGAAAACAAGCTGTTTGAACCTTTGTGAAAGGTTTAGTTAAGTTCTATAAAGTAATGTTGTTTGGTGCCGTCGAGTCGTAGATGACTCATGGCGACCCTATGAACGAAACGCCTGAACACTGTTGGTACATAGAGTTTCCGGAGGCAAGCCATTTCAGAAGTGGACGCCGCTTCTGCTTCCAGGCTTGATTTAGTTGGGAAGCTCCAGTCAACATTGTCCACCATGGGTATCCATTACCATGATTGGCACATCAGTGTCACAGTGTTCAACATCACAGCAACACGAGTTACCTCTGTACAGCAACGCACAGACCAGTGCTATGTACTTAGGAAATTCCACCTTAAATTATAACATTTCAAGGCAAGCAGCCACCAAACCTAACTGCGGTTGTTGTTGTCAGGTGCCGCTGAGTTAAGTACGACTCACAGCGACCCTAAACAACACATCTGAGCCCTGTCCTGTCCTGTGACATCCTCACAATCTCTGACACACGAGAGCCCATTGCAGCAGTCACTGTGTCAATCCACCTAGCGGAGGGAGGGTCTTCCTCTCCTTCGCCAACCCTCCACCTTTGCAAGCATGAATTCCCTCTTCCCTTTGGAATATGGCAGTAAACAGATGTGTTACCAAATGAATTCCGAAACCAACTAACTGGTAAGTGGGTTTTGTCAGTTGGCCCTCACAACGGGCCTCTTCCTTTGCTCCCGCCCACAAGCTCTCTTTGCCAACTTTTATCAAAGCTGTCAGCCATCAGCCTTGCTGTAAGCTGCTCCAGGTCAGAAGAGTGTGTGTGTGTGTGTGTGTGTGTGTGTGTGTGTCTTAGGGGAGAAGCTTGTCTAATCTAGCATGGTTTCCATATAAAAACACCACTGCTCAACTGAGCTACCACCCTCTTTATCTTTGCTGCTAAAATATTAATAGAAATGGTCATCAGTCACCTCATTGTTTCTTTTTTTTTATTATTTTTATTTTATTATTTTTCTGTGCATGTACCATCAAATCAGATCTGACTGGTACAGGAGGAAATTGTCCCTCCTTCCCCGGCAGAGCATCTGGTGGATTTGAACCGTTCGCCTCTGGGATTGTAGTTGCTGCTCCTTGCCACTAGGCCACCAGAGAGAGCTCCCCTACCTCATTGTTTCTTAATTCAACAACTGTTCACTCAGCCCCTTTCTCAGCCTCACACCTTGCTGTACATACCACCTTTCACACAGACTTGTCTTTTTAAACCTCACAGCGACTAATACCACTGCAAGAGTCCTAAAGATCCCCTACTGACCTGTGTGCCTCTCTTGTGAGCACAGATCTTTGATGAAAAGTACTTGAAGCCCAGAATTTCCCAGTCATTTTCTACATTCTTTATCTGTACCCTGCATGCCAGTACTCACCTAAACAAATAAACTACCTCCTCCAAATTTCCTTACTGATCCTTAGATGGCACATGGAGTTGGGGGTTCGAAAACACCCCGAAGACACTCTGGCAAGCTCTTTCCACAAGGTCACAGCCTTCACACCCTAGAGATCGTGGGGCGACGGGGCCACCACAAACTACCATCAACCCAACAGCAATGAGCAAGGTCCCTCAGGTTCAACTTTAAAGGGAGTTTAAAGTGGCACTTACTGCAGTGAAATCCATCTTCAATTCAATCACTCGAGTTAAGTCAGGAAGGGCCGCTTTTGATTTACCCATAGCTAAAAAGACAGTGGCTCTCCGGTAATAAGCAATGTAGTTATCAGGGTCACCGTCTGAAAATGAAAACAGTAAGTATTAACTCTTAATAACTTGTTTAAAAATACTAATAAGAGGTGGAAATTTAATTAGAAAGATAATAAAGAGTTTCTTCCTCACATTTGGGCCACTTTGCTATAAATATTACCAAAATAGAGCCTGAGAGGGTAAAAAATAGGTCAAGTTGAGTGGCAAAATTTTCTTTAGAAAATATATCTAGCACTAGAATCAACAAATTATGAACCAAATCCATAGACTTCAAACTAAGGATTGTTTAGAGAAAAACATACACTAGCTGACCTTTTACAGAAAAAGTTTGCCAGCGTCTGATCTAGAATATTAACTGTGTTCCAACTCATAATTGTTACTCTACTCAAACCGTTCTGTTGTCTCTGTCTTGGTGGAATACTAAGGTGGCCAATTATGTGTACTTATTAATAAGGTTTTATAAAACTATAGACTTCCAATTAAACTGTTAGACTGAATGCAGATATTTCTATTCAGTAAAGTAATAAACTACAAACCACAAGGACAAAGAACAAGAATGGAAATTAGAGTGATGCTGGAGGGTCTGAACTTTTAAAAGGAGGAAAGTAATGGTGACTGGGGTTATAAAACAAAGCACAGCAAAGAGCTGGAAACAACCTAAGTGCCCATCAACAAACAAATGGATAGAGAAACCCTAGTATATTCACACAATGGAATTCTACGCAGCATTGAAAAATAAGGAACTCATGAAATAGTATGCAAAATGGGTGACCCTGGAGGACATTATGCTGAGTGAAATATCTCAGTCACCAAAGGACAAATACCGCACAAGGCCACTGTTGTAAAATGGGACTGACATCAAGGTTGAGGGAAGAAAGAAAAGGAAGGGAGGAATGATGTATATTGCACGGAAAGTGATAAGGGAGAGAACTGTTTAAAAGGGATATATGACTGGGTATTATTGTCATGACAGGACTCCAAAATGAAGGAACAGAGCAGTGGACTTGCGGGGAGGGATTGCATAACAATGAGTTTTTCTTTTTCTTTTCAAGGAGAAGAGTGATTTGGGGGGAGGGGGTGGGCTGAGAGAAAAGTACAAAAATGAATGGCAGGAAACCCTAAAAAAAAAGCATAGGAATGACTGTACTAAACACAATGCAAATGAAGAACAGTGTGAAACACAATGCATCGGACCTTGTGAGCAAGCTAATTTTTTAAAAAAGGGAGGAAAGCAAACAGACAAGCTGTGTTTTTCAGATGTTCCAGCGTTCAGCACCTATAAAGTGGGGGAGGGTGAATTCAATTAAAACAAAGTCTCGGGCTGCAGGACTCCTGAAATGCTCAGCAACGGGGAACAAGGGTTTCATGTGAGTCAGACGAAGCTGGAAATGTACGACGAGTGGCAAAAGTTTGAGGAGTAAGAACTGAGATCTCCAGCAAGGCTGTCTTAAAGGAAGCGTGGCTGAGCTCAGCTCCTTAGAAACGAGGAGGAGAGAACTATGCCGCACTTACTGCGGGTTAACAAATACATGGAAAGCTGCTCCGGGTCATTAGCCAATGAAGGGATGCAAAAAAAAAAAAAGCACAATGAGAAACCCCTTATCCCGGCAACACAAGCACCGCTGAGAAGCACGAACGAATGCTGACGAGAATGCAGGAGATCATAACCACTGGCTCTTGTTTGTTTTTACTTCAACCTTTTTACAGTGATTTGGATCAAAGTTCAAAGGGCAAATGAATATCCCATTCATAATCCGTACACATTCTGTGTCCTGGCACCACGGCAACTGCCACAGGGTTGTTTTTGTTTTTTTAATTTTAATTTAGTTTGTTTATTTTTCATTTCAATGAACATCTACAGAGATTTTGGAATTCCATTCATTCATTGTTGCACCCTTCTCCCCGCACAAACCCCCCCCCCTTTGCTCCTCTCCTTGAAAAGCAAAAGAAAAACTCCCTCATTGGTACATAATCCCCACCCCCGCACCTCCCCAAACCCCACCCCCTACCCCCAAATATAATCCACTCTGCAACCCTCATTGCGTACTCCTACGATAAAAATAATGCCCTAAAACACTTTTAGACCATTCTCTCTCCCATAGACTTCAATGCCGTAAACATATTTCGTCCAGTTTTTCTCAGTCTCACCCCCACCCCAATGCCAGCCCCAGGGTTTTAAAGGCACCTTTCCTCCGGCCATCAGGGCAGGGCTCCCAGCTCTGCTTGCTCTTCTCACTGGCCTGCCTTCTGAGCTCAGGCCCCGGGCAAGACAGCCCAGCTGATCTAAGGTTGATGAGAGCGCTCACCTCCTCGGTGTCACCCCTCACCTCACACCCATCCGTGGACGCTGAGCTATGGAGGAGGTTCCCGTCCAGCTGTTACTCCTCCTCAGTGTTACCCCTCACCTCACACCCGTCCACTGTTTGGCTGGATGCTGAGCTGTGGACCAGGTTCACTTCCAGCTCTGCAGGAAATCGAAGCCAAGCCCTGAGGGCTTCTGACAGTTGCCCAGGTCTGTTTTAAGAGTCCGAGTTTTCCCTACATTTTTCTCTCGCTCTCTAGGTTCTTCTACGGTGATCCTAACTGAAATGGTCAGCAATGACTGCTGGTACTACACGGTTCTTACGGTCTCAGGCTCGTGAAAGCTGAGGTCGGCATACTCAGTCCTGGGGACTAGCTACATCCAAGGATCTTTGATGGTCGTCCCTCTTCTGTGCTCTAGACAGGGAGAAATGAATAGTTATCTCTTAGACAGTGGCTCACTCGCTTGTAAGATGTCAGTCACCGCTCACCAATGGATGACACTGAACGTTGTCTTTAAAGACTATCTCAACTGACACTGAGTTGCAGTGCAGGAGAAGAGTACTGACTATTCCATGAGTGTCAAAACAAACAGGCATGTCCTGGAGAAAGTACACCCAGAGTGCAGCTTGGAGGCAAAGATGGCGAAGCTCCGTCACACATACTTGAGATACGTAGCTCGGCGAGGCTACTGCTTAGAGAGGGACATCACGGAAAGATGGAGGGTCAGTGAAGGACAGGAAGGCCCCCAATGGGATGAACTGACACAGCAACTTCGGCAATGGGCTCGAGTGTGTCAGAGATGATGAGAATGGCACAGGACAGGGCAGGGTTCAGAGTGGCTCTTCATCAGATCCCTGTGACTCGTACTCACCTTGATGGCACCTAACAACAGTAAGTGTCATTACGTAAATAATCCTGCAGCAATAGTAATACTAATTGTTCATAGCTAAAATGTTCCAGGAGGAGTGGCATCCACTTCCAAAATAGCTTGTCTCTGGAAACTCTGTGTACTTGGAGAAACTATGAAAGTTATACAAGTGTTCAGATTTTTCGTTCACAGGGTCACTATGAGTCGTTTATGACTTGACAGCACTTAACAATAACAACAACATAGAGCTCTGTTGGTCTAGTGGATAGAAAGTGATACCACCAAGTAGAAAGTGATACCACCAAGTCAAAGGTGGGTGATTTTAATCTGTGGCCCTCAGGCGTGATTTTCATTGTCTTTGGTCAAGCATTCTTCTAAGTGGTACAGCACTGGTTCGTGGTTGCTGTGATGCTAAACAATGTGACCTTGATGGGTCAAATGTAATAATGATTACCCATGGTGGACAGTGTTTGGTGGAGCTTCCCAATTAAAACAAGCTTGGAAGCAGGAGTGGCATTCATTTCCAAAATAGCTTGCCTCTGAAAACTCTATGAACCTGGAGAAACAATGTAAGTTATGTGAGTATTCAGGTCTTTCGTTCATAGGGTCGCTATGAGACGTCTATGACTCAATGGCATTAAACAACAACAACAAGCTTCAGAGAGCTGAACAATGACTAAGAATGGCAGAAGAAGAACTGATGCCTTGGAGTTGTGGTGCTGGAGAAGTCTTGAACATAACATGGACTGCCAAGAAAACAAATAGTTCTGCCTTGAAGAAGGTGAAACTTGGGAGGCTAGGATTTTGAAGTTCCATCTTTTATTCTTTAGGCACGTGGCCAGGAGCGACTGGTCGTTGGAGAAGGACACCATTCTTGGAAGGGTGGACAGACAGCATAGGACAGGAAGACCCGGGATGAGATGGATTGACACAGTGACTAGGGTAATGGGGGTTGGTGTGTCGGAATTAGTAAGACTGGCTCAGGACAGGGTAGGGTTTAGAGCTGCTGTACACTGGGTCACTGTGGGTCGTAGGCCACTCAACGGCACACAACAACAACAGGTGCATGCTAAGTGGGAGAGAAAGCAGAGGAGCAAGCCGATGCCTGTAAATGCCGCACACTCGCGTAAGAGCACGCTGCAAGCACAGCTGTATCGCCTTACCCCCTGGAACTGACCTCCGGGCGAAGGACCACCACCTCAGGGGACCTTCCAGTCAACCAGGAAACCGCTGTTCCTAAAGATAATGTTCTACCATCCTCGTCTGCTCAGCAGGGTCTGGAGTCTTAAAGGGCTCTAAGTAGGTGACAAGTTAGGAAGCAAATGTTAGTCCTTCCCACCGAAGGAGAAAAAAAGAAAACCAGATATTCAAGGAAACAGCGCAAAGGATTAAGGAGCTGGATAAGCACAACATCCTCTAACCTGAGACCAGAAGAACTGGACTGTGCCAAGCCACCACTATTACCAACTCTGGCCAGGACCACGATAGAAAGTTCTAGAGAATGGAGAGGAGTAAGTAGCAAATATCCTAGGGACTGCCAAAAGATCAAACAACTATGTCTTGGAGAGGCAATCAGGGTGCTTCTTACAGGCGAAGATGGCAAAGCTTCACCGCACACACTTTGGCCACTGTTGTTCGGAGGGGCCAGTCCTTGGAAAAGGACAGCATGCTTGGAAAGGTCAGTGAAAAAGAGACCTGCGACCAAGTGCATCCACACAGTGACTGCAACTACAGGATCGTGTAGATCGGAGATGAGGATGTCACGGGGGAGCAAGGTTCAGACCCGTCGCTCACAGGACCCCGTGTGTATCATACTCAACTCAACTGCACCTAACAGCAACAGTAGTTAGAACGAGT